ACACTGTGAGACACGGGGTGAGACACTGTGAGACACGGGGAGACATTGTGAGACACGGGGTGAGACACTGTGAGACACGGGGAGACATTGTGAGACACGGTGAGGCACGTTGAGACACGTGGAGATACTGTGAGACAGAGGAGACATTGTGAGACACGGGGAGACATTGTGAGACACGGGGTGAGACACTGTGAGACACGGGGAGACATTGTGAGACACGGGGAGACATTGTGAGACACGGGGTGAGACACTGTAAGACACGTGGAGATACTGTGAGACACGGGGAGACACTGTGAGACACGGGGGAGACACGGTGAGACAGAAACGGTGAGACACGGTGGGACACGGTGAGACACGGTGGGACACGGTGAGACACGGGGGAGACACGGTGAGACAGAAACGGTGGGACACGATGGGACACGGTGAGACACGGGGGAGACAGAAACGGTGGGACACGGTGGGACACGATGGGACGCGGTGGGACACGGTGAGACACGCTCCGTGCCGTGCAAGGTGCCGCCCTCCACCTCCATGCAAGCCCAGGCACCACGCAGCGGGCGTCGTGAATTGTCATTATTAAAGCCACACCAGGGTGTGAACACAAAATAATCATCCGAGATGTTTTCCCCCATCCTTTTTTGATCGTGACAAAAAGGTATCCCGTGCATGTAACTGGTGGACCCCGAGCTCTCCGTGTTGTGAGACTGGCATTGTCTTTGTTCTGCTTCAAATCAACATTGTCTTTGTTCTGCTTCAAATCAACATTGTCTTTGTCCTGTGGGTGTTCTCTGGTCTGGCGAGACGGGGCCATACAGAAGGCTGTCTGCGTGGTTAATGCAGACTTGATACCTTGCAAAACGTATCTTACTTGCTGTTCGATCATCTTAACACCTGTTTTATTGCTAGAAAGGGTTAATAAAACTATTATTTATTAAATAACGTTTGATCCTTGCAAAAAGCTCGCGTAGATACTCCACAATCAGCTTCAAGGGGTGGTGCAGCAGTCAGTCATTAGATTCGTCTCGCACGGTCACATCCCGATTCACCACATCACTTTTAGTTACCCGAATTGTACCACTCAGAACACTTGTTTTGAATGGAGCTGTGCACTCAATTGAGGTTTCATCTCCATTTGAAGTTTTCGTGACTGCAGAGATCCATACTCTTTGGTTCTTTACCGACAGAACCAAGGAGTAGGCAATTGAGGTTTAAATTTTGATTTGATATGTAAATTAATTTGTCAAGGCGCTCTCCTCCTCTAACCCAGCTTAAATATACGCTGCCAAGCTTGGTGGTGTTCATTCGGACGCTGTCTTTCCGACAGACCTGTTCTTCACCTGAGGACGGCTGCTTGTGTTGTGGCCGAAACGTCGTGAGAATTTTATTTTGTTTTATTTCCATTATTTTATTATTTCCCTTCTACGTGACTTTACCGAAAGAACCAAGAAGAAGAAAATTGAGGTTTCTGCGGAATGCACATCCGTGGCTCTTCAAAAACGGCAGATCTTTCGTGGCTTATGAAGATTTAGAGGAAGATTTTTTCACGGCTGAATTTGATGGGTGGGTAGATCAGGACAAGCGGCACCACCCCTCCGCCCTGCATCGTCCAGTTGACTGGTCACTTCATGGCCACCGATGGAGGCGCGTCGACAGGCCAGGATGATGCCACGTGCACGCAGCTCATTCCCCACGCTGCAGCAAATGACAGCTGGCACGCCGCTCTCCGCGACGACGTTCAGGGGCTTCTGCTGCTGCGCCTCGATGAGGATCGTACCGACCGGCGACTGCCGTGCCGTCCGGTACCACCCCGGCTGCGACGCAGCAGTGCCCACGCTCGTCCTCTGTGGCATCCGCAGCAGCTAAAAGACCAGCGATTGATTCACCAGAAGCAACCGCCGGGGAGACCATAGGTGCCCCTGTAAACGAGGTCATTCCCGCAGTGCCTTCCTTGGCGGTGGTCAATGCCGGGTAGAAACATCTTTGTTGCCATCTTGCCATTGCGGCAGTGTCACAAGCGGCTGCCACACACGTAGCGGCCGTTTAGTCGCTCAAAGTAATTTCATTTCTTGCTGCACCAGCAGCGCCAAAATTAACAATTGGGCGCTATGCAGAGGTATTGATTTAAATTATTACAAATTGTGTATACTTTATTGTGCACTATAATACAGTTTGAGTAAAAATCCATAAAGAATAAAACATCCTGTTTTCACTGCTTCCTACCTCTAACTGTACTATGAAAAAATTGCAAATCTAATTTTTTTTTTTGCCTGCTACCCAGGTCTGTGGGTAGCAGGCTAGAGAAATGAAGTGTCAGGGCCCAATCCCTCTGTACCATGTTCCGTGCTCCTTGGGCAATTGCTGAAGTTATGAATAACTTACCTCCAGCAGACGGTGACATTAACGACACGGGGGGAGGTTGGGAATAAATAAATACACCACGCACCGCTCGCTGAACACCATCCACCACTCAATGCTCACCATACACCACTGAAGCATTCACCACTCAGCACACTTCCTTCACCATTCAATACAACCGCCATTCGCCACTAAGTGGCGGTGACATCACCATGGCACTTGTGCCAGACTCGTTGTTGTGAGCATCGACTGCCTCCAACTACCCAAACCTCCTCCACAGAGGACAATCTTGACACTGCTGGTACCAGTCATCGGCAAGTCCACGGAGCTCCACATCCTCTTGTACTATATCACACCATCTCCTTTCTAGCTCGTGCTGTGCCCGTTTAGCCCCCTCCGTCCGGCCGATGGGCATGGGGGCTACATGACCCAGCCACCGATGGGACTTTGTCCAGATGTTTCAAGGATTTGTTAGCTCCTCACAAAATCCAGCCTGGTTAAGCCCAGGATGGATTGTAAGCAAGCCAGCCTTAATGTTTCTAACCACCGAAGATGTTCGCAAGCATAGAGAGGGGAGGGCATGACCATGGCCGAGAAGACCCAAGCTTGATGTGGAGCAACAGACCAGGTAACTTCCACACAGCGTTACGCAGCCGATGAAAAGATAATGCCGATCAACTGATTCGGAGACCTCTGCTGTCAAAACGGAGCTGGTCATAAACACACTGCCCAGGTATGGACAACTCTCCACTCTCTCCACAACTGCCCCATCACCAATTGGGAGTTGTTGGGGTGGAATGTCTGATGGTACAAAATACCCAGGTAGGTGCTTAATTTTGGTGGGGCTGATGGTAAGGCCCCACATCTTAGTGGCACACTCCAGGTTCAGCAGCAGCGCCTCAAACTCCTTCGCTGAGTGAGCAGCAATCACTAGATCATCAGCATATATAACATGGTTGACCAATAGGGAGCCATCCCTTGACCGCACCCTGGCATCGATCAGCCTCCCATTGTATCTCTACCAAATGGAGATTTTTTTTCGGTACAGCCATCGAAGGCTTAATGAACTACGTAGTCGAAAAATATGTTATATGTGGGAGCCAGAGGACATCCCTATCGCATTGCCAAGTGAACAGGGAATGGCTCCAACTCCCGGCCATGTAGTTTTACCCGGGCCTTCCCACCATCATGAAGGTCCTTAATGATTGTGAGCAGAGAGTCAGGGACTCCGAAAGCATGACGAAAAACCCAGAGCCCAGGCCTATTGATGGTATCTTAGGCCTTAACCAGGTCAATACAGCAGAGATGTAGGTGTCTACACCTCTGCTGTAGCAGAAGGATCAAAAATATGGCATCTGTGCAGGACCGCCCAGGCCTGAAACCACACTGAGGCTCCGCAAACCTTTCCTCAACGTGCCTGTCAAGGCGATATTAAATAACACTGGTCAACACACTTTTTCTGGCATAAGGTATTCCAACGGTTTTAAGGTAATTTTAGGGTGCTGATGCCACATCTGGCATCAGTTTTTGTCTATCACATCAGGTTTTTGAGATATCAAATATTGCATTTTCAATAAAAACTGCAGAAGAAAAATATTAAATAAATGTGGATATCTACATAAAATTATATAAACACACTATCCTAAAAATATAGCACCATATTTTAACACTAAAGCAGTCACTGACTCGCAACAACTTGCAATCATAAGTGACAGAGTTAATTTCGGGTAAAATCAATGAAAATGGGGTATGCCGCTAGCATAAAAATGATGTGATAGAGCAAATCTGAGATCAGATTTGGAATCAGCACCCTGAAATTAGTCTAAAACAGCTGCAAAAGTCCAGGCCAGAAAAATGTTTTTTTTTGTTAACCAGTGTATAATCCTTGCCAGGACCTTTCCCGGCACAGAAGTCTGCGCACCAACGCCACCCTCCCTCAGCAGTTTGCTTGGGAGATCATCTCTGCTCAGCCTTCCAATCTCTCCAGCCCAGGTGCCAGTATCATGACCCACTCGGGCATTAAAGTCACCCAACAGGATGAGGGGCCACTTACGCTCGCACCTGTGACAGGTCATAGAAGGCATCTGACTCATCGGCCTTGCCTATATCCCTCCACTGATGTTCATCTTTAGTGGGGGCATAAGTAACCACCACCACTCCTCACTTCTGGTTGATGGGGAGGCGAGCCCACAGTAGCTTGGGGCTTATAGCTTCCCGCACCTCACCGCCACTCACCGCTCACCACACACCATTCGCCACACTCCACTCACCATTCACCCCTCACCACTCAATATTCATCGCTCGCCACTCACCACTCACCGCTGACCATATACCACTCTCCACACTCCACAGAGGGCTCACACACCACATTGTGGCTTGACCTCTCTCATCTGTGCTTCTTAATACAATGTGAAACGTACGGCACAGCGCGGTTATTACAGTGCAGCCCGGAGTTCATAAATAGAAAAAAACTAAATCGCGGCATTGACGTGACTTGCACACAGTGACCGTTTCACGTCAAGACAGGTGGGGAAATCAACCGGCGGGTCTTCTCCGCGCGGCGATAGATGCCAAACATCCACCTCGTCCGCCCACTGTGTGCCCCGTGTCCACCGGCGAGTCTCTCGTCACCGAGCGGTGCCAGCTCACCGCCCCCTGCGGAGGACGGCACGGCCAGCGTGGGCTGCCAGCATCTCCTCCTCGGCCTTCCTCTTGCGCGTGAGCCTGCGCGGCGATGCCTCGCACTCCCCTGAGGGTTCCACAATCTCCCAGCCATGCTGCCTTCCACCAGCATGCCTCGTGGCCTTCTCGGCATCCCGCGCAGTTTTGGCGGTGTCCCCTCGCTGCGTTTTGGTGCCGCCGTCGCCAACGCCGCCCCCCCCGCCCACCCCGCGGTCTCCGCCCGGCTTCCCGCAGCGCCGCACCAGCCCCGCCCCCGGCGCCCCTCGCCGGACCGTGTCCGCCTCCTCGACGGCGCCGTGGGCCCTCGCGCGAGCCATCCTCTCGCCGCCTGGCGAAGCATTCCTCCCGGCGTGTCTCGTGGCCATCGCGGGCCCCGCCGATTGCACGGTTTGCCGATCGTCGTCAACGCGGATGCTGCCACCAATGACGCCGCCAATGCCGCCCCTCGCTGCCGCAGGCACAGCCGTCTCCACGGCCTTTGCTGGCATCTCCCGGCGCTTAGGCGCCGCCGTCTCGGCACCGCGCAGTCCTTCACGGATGCCGGTGACGACGACGACCCCGGCATTTGCCGGCGCCCGACGCGTTCTTCTCATCTCGGTGGGCCCCACGGTGGGGATGTCGCCTCCACGGTTAGCGGCGACGTCGCCGCCACCGTCGCTGCCGGTTCCTCCTCGCACCGCCGGCACAGCCTGCGGCACACGGAGCGTAAGGTCAGGAAACTTGCATTAGGCTCAACGACAATATAATCGCGCACTATTCGTGCGATAATGCCCCTTTAAAAACGTCGCGGCACTGAACGACGATTTTAAAGGGGCGCATTATTGCAAAGCTGATTGCATAGGATGCGACAATTGTTTGGCTTTGTTCGTGTCGGGTGGTGGAAGATGAAACATGGCAAAAGTTTAGCCAGATCATTAAGTGGCTTAACCCAAAATTTTATTACGAATGAATTTGGCCGTGTAAGACCTACTACGTGTCAAGTAAAGGCCTAGTAACATTGCAACACTTCAAACCCCGCTTGAAACATCGCTTTTAAAATAACAACAGCGCGCTCACGACTGATGGAAACCGCGCCGCGCAACGCTAACCCCTCCCTGGGGCCGCACCTCCTCCTCCTCGTGATCGACTTTCCCCATCGTCGTTGTCGTCCGCAGTCGCCTCCTTGTTGAGTCCGCCCCCTCCTCCTGCTCCTCGTTCCCGTGACAAGGGCCTCCCCTCCTGGGGAGACCCTTGCCCCTCATGTGCTGGTACTTGCGGAGGATTCGCGAACTCTCCTCCTCGCCCCTCCTCCTCCTCCTCCTCGCCGCCGCCCTCCTCGTCGCTACCTCCGCCGTGGGTGGCGGTGCCACCTGACCCCTCCCTCTAGCCCGCACAGCCCCCCCCCCCGTCCCCACCGCCGCCCCCGCCCGGCACGTGGGCTCGTTGTCGGCGAACTTCTTGAGGTGTTTCCCAACGCGGTCGTCGGCGCCGACGCGGGCGCCGGCCGGGCGACGCCGGGGACTCCCCGGCCCCTCGTCCCGTCGAGGCCTGCGCGGGGCCCGCGCCGATCCCCGTGGGCCCCGGTGGCGGCGCGCCGAGCCCCCTTTCGCTCCCCGGTCCGGCCGGGCGGTCGCGGTCTCGGCGCCGGTCCCGCTCGGCCTCGCGGAGCTGCCGGTGCTGCCAGAACTGCCGCCGCCGGCGGCGGTCGTCGTCGTGGTCGGCTCCAGGAACCAACGGCGGACATCCGACACGCGAAGCGGCCGGCTGAAGAGGAGACGCACGGCGCCGGGGCCACGAGTTGACCAAACTACGCCGTCTACGCCGCACGAGCTACCGGCGCTGCTCGCCGCGCTCGTGCCCCCCGAGTCGCTCGCGCCGCACGCGGGGTCGTCGTCGTCGGCGTCGTCGTCGCACGCGCCGTCGACGATCGCGCCGCACGCGCCGTCGACGATCGCGCCGCACGCGCCGTCGACGATCGCGCCGCACGCGCCGTCGACGATCGCGCCGCACGCGCCGTCGACGATCGCGCCGCACGCGCCGTCGACGATCGCGCCGCACGCGCCGTCGACGATCGCGCCGCACGCGCCGTCGACGATCGCGCCGCACGCGCCGTCGACGATCGCGCCGCACGCGCCGTCGACGATCGCGCCGCACGCGCCGTCGACGATCGCGCCGCACGCGCCGTCGACGATCGCGCCGCACGCGCCGTCGACGATCGCGCCGCACTCGCTCCCCACGCTCGCCCCAGCACCGCTCGCTTCACACGCGCCGTTCACGCACGGCAGGCCGCTCGCCGCTCCGTCCACCGCACCGCTCGCCGCTGCCCCCGTGTCGCCATCCCCGCGCGTGCACGCGCCGGTGGCGTGGCTCGGCGGGGTGGCGGTGCTCGGCTCGCGCTCGGCTTCTGCGCCGGAGCCGTGGGTTCGACTGGCGGACGGCGGATGGGCCGGCGCCGTGACCCACCCGGCCGCCATGTTGTGGTAGCGCTCCGTGAGCGCTCGCAGGCGCCGTGCGCAATCGGCGGGAATCCAGCGGGCGAGCAGTGCCTCCACATCCTCTTCCTCATCGTCCTCATCGTAGTCGCCCAACTCGTCGTAATCATCCTCAAACTCCTCCTCCTCCTCATCGGAGCTAAAGTCACCGCGGGTGCCCGCGTCTTCGTCCGAGTCGTCGTTTGGCACCGGCGATGCCGGGGGAGAGGGGGGTCCCCCCACACTCCTCTTCGCCGCCACGGTTTCCCCAACCCCCCCACCGGCTTCCCCGGAGTCGTGCCGTCGCCCCCGCGCCGCCCTGACGATGTCCGCGTCGGGACGTGGCGCCGGCACGGCTGCCACCGTCTCCACCGAGTCGAGGAAATCGCGCCACACGCGCCCGTTGCGCGTGTCGGCCATGGACAGCAGCTGAAGTTCGTTGCGCCGGCATTTCTTCCTCTTGTCGTGCGGCGACGCCGGTTCCCGGCGCCGCCTGCGACCCCGCGCGCGGAGCGCCGCCGCTTCGGCGCCGTTGCCCCCAACGGACGCCCTGGTGAAGGCTACGGCGCCAGCCGCCGCGTTCGCTTCATCCTCCTCCAACCACGACGACGGCGGCGACGGCGGCCGCGGCAGCTTCGGCACCATCGCAGGGGGCCGCCAGGCGGCGTCTGCCGGCGCCCCGAGCCGGTGTGGCACGGGGGCCTCTCCGCGCCACCGCGTCTCCGGCGCGGTCCGAGCGGCGTGCGGAGCCGTCGCGGGGGGGAGCGGAGGAGGAGGAGGCGGGGGAGGGGACGGGGGGGCGGGCGCCCCCGGCGCGCCCTCGCGCGGGCGGCGGCGACGCACGGCCGCCCGCAACGGCGCCTCCCGCACCGCCTCCGGCCCCCGCCCTTCGACCCCCTCCTCCCCCCCCCGCGCCGTTCCAGGGGGGGTCGCCCCCCCCTCGCCCCCGCCCTCCTCCCCCTCCCCCCCCGCCGCCTCCCCCGCGTCCCCGGAAGTCTCCGAGTGTTGCCCGCTCACCGGGCACGGTGTGGCAGGAGCTGGCGCCGTCGCCGCCGTCGCCGCTTGCGTCTCGCGGGTGGAGTGCGCCCCCTCCCCCTCCTCCTCCACCCCCGCCCCCGCAGGGGATCCCCCGCACCCCCCTCCACCGCCAGCCTCCCCGCGGCCCCCTCCCAGCGCCGGCTCCCAGGGAAGAAGATGGCGCTGCCTCCGGCGTGGGCGGTGGTGCCGCGTCTCCTCCCCTCCTCCTCCTCTCCTCCTCCTCCCTCTTCACTTCTGTCCCAGCTCTAACCAGCGGCGCCGACTCCTCCTTCACCGCCGGAGATGCCGGTGGGACGGGAGAGCGGTTGGCGTCGGCGAGCGAGTCTGTGCTGGGCAAATGGGAAGGCTCGCCGGACTCGGCCGTTGGCGCCAGGGCCGCCGCCGCCGGTGGTGGTGGTGTCGGTGGAGCCGCGCGGTCGAGGAACGACGGGGAGATGCCATCACCGTCGGTCGCCGTAAGCTCGGCGGCCGGCATCGATGGACCGGCAACAACAGCGGCGGCGGCTAACCGTTCGGGCGGCACCATCTGGCACGAGGAGGCGGGCGGAGCTCGAGCCGAGGGGGACGCCGCGATCTCGGCGCTAGCGCCGACGAGACCAGAGCCTCGTGCCGTCTTCCTGGCATTGGTGGCGGCGCCAGCACCGGCACGGAGGCCACGCCAGCTCCTCATCCTCGCTCGCGCCCCTCGCTCCGCCCGCGGTGGGGGCCGAGCGACGCGGGCGCCGTCCTCCACTCTCACCACATCGTCCTCCGAGGGTCCCCCCGGCACCGGTGGCACCGCCGTCTTCGAGATCTCCCCACCCCCGCCGCCCCCCGGCTCGTTCTCCGACGGCGCCTGATGGCGCTCGCCAGCAGCGGGGAAGAGAGCGCCGTCGGCGTCGCGGCACGACGCCGGCGGCGTGCGCCGGCGGTGGTGACCGCCGGTCCCCGTTCCGGCACCGGCGTTGTTGGGGAGCGAGCGACTATTATTGTCGGAGAGCGCGCGCCGGCGCCCGACGTCAGGGACGCCGATGAGCGCCGCCCGCGCCACTCGCACCGTGTGCACCTCCCACGTGCCGCCGGCGCCGCTCACGTGGCCCCGCGTGCTCTTGCGAGCCGAGCGCTTTCCGTAGCACCGCACCGGCGACAGCGGCGGCGCCGGTACCGGCGCGGGCGCCGGCGCAGCCACGGAGACGCCGGCGTCCGCGAGAGCCGCCGCGGCGGCACCGTCGTCGCCGTCGGCGCCGTCGTTCCCGGAGCCCGCCGCGTTTTCCGCGGATTCGCCGGCACCGTCGCCGTGGGGGTCGACGGGGCGGCTCACGTACACCACGTCGCACTGCGCCGCCTCGCTCGAGCTCGGCCGCTCGTAGCCGCAGCGCCGGTGATGGTGGCGGTGGCGGCGCCGGTGCCGCTGCTGCCGCTGCTGCTGCTGCTGGAGGAGGAGGTGCGGCATCGAGGAGGTGGTGCGGGCGCAACCCGGGGCCAACGATTTGCGGGCAGTGCCGGTGCCGGCGCCGCGGCCCAGCCCGCCCGCCCGCGCCTCCGTCCCCTCCCCGGCCACCGTCACCGCCGCCGTCCTCCGCCGGCTCTTCTTCTTACGCTTCTTCGGCGAGCGCTTGCCGGGCGCCGTCGATCCCTCCGCGCCATCCTCCTCCGTGGTCGCCGCCGGCCCCTCGACGACACCGGCCGCCCCCTCCCCCTCTTCCGCCTCGCCGACGCCGCCCGGGAAAGAGGAAGGCGCCGGCGGCGGGTCGACGGGCCGAGCCCCGGCCTCGCTGGCACCCCCCGCATCCGCTTGCCGCGCTCGCAGCGGCTGCACCGCCTGCACCGGCAGCCACGGTGGCTGCCCCGGTGTTTGGAAGTGGATGGGCGCGGCGCCGCCTCCGTTCACGCCGAACGGCGCCGTGGCCCGGCCGCCGGAGTCCTCCTCGCAGAGCCGCGCGGCGACGCCGCCGTCGCACGTGGGGCCGCCGGCCAGGCCGGCGAGGCCGGAGGGGCCCCAGCCGAGCGCCGGCGTCATCACCAGGTCGGCGGTCGGCTCCCTCGAACTGCCGGGCGCCGGTCCCGGCTCCTCGGCGGTGCCGATCGTTTGTCGAACGACGGCGGGACCGCCGCCGGCAGCGGCGATGGCGGCGCGGGAGTTGGTGGCGTAGCGGAGGAGGCCCAGCAGCAGCCGCTGGTGCTGGCAGCACAAGCGCGACAGGAAACCCTCGAGGGGGCCGCCCCCCACAATCGGCACCGGCAAAGAGCCGGGGTCCGGAACCGAGAGCGACATGGGTTTGGAGCCGAGATCCGGAGCTGCCGGCATGGTCCACACACTAGGGGCCCTGGGAGCGCAAGCGGGGAGGGGAGGGATGAGGGACGGTGAGAGTGTGTGGTGTGCGGACGGTGTGTGCATGGTATGTGTGGTGTGTGTGTGGTGTGTGTTTACGTGTGGTGTGTGTTTACGTGTGGTGTGTGTTTGTGTGTGGTGTGTGTTTACGTGTGGTGTGTGTTTGTGTGTGGTGTGTGTTTACGTGTGGTGTGTTTACGTGTGGTGTGTGTTTACGTGTGGTGTGTTTTACGTGTGGTGTGTGTTTTATGTGTGGTGTGTGTGTTTTACGTGTGGTGTGTGTGTTTACTGTGTGGTGTGTTTACGTGTGGTGTGTGTTTACGTGTGGTGTATTTACGTGTGGTGTGTGTTTATGTGTGGTGTGTGTTTGTGTGTGGTGTATTTACGTGTAGTGTGTTTACGTGTGGTGTGTGTTTACGCGTGGTGTGTTTCCTTCACCTATGTGTTGATGATCTGCACGTCCGTCTGGAAAGATCCAGGGCCTCATCTGTTGGGTTGAAGTCAGAATCACAAAACGTACGCACACACACACACAAAGACAGAGATCTCCCCAGTAGCATCTTGAGGCTGTTGGGGACGAGTGCTGTTTGCGAGTACCCAGCCCGCCATGGCACAAGAGAGGGTGGGTGGCCAGCACCAAGCCCAGCCACCTTTGTCTCGCATATGCTGTTTACTACACACTGCACCAGATACTCATTTTAGGCTGAGTGGAACTAGGGGAGGGCTCCGGGCCGGTTCAGATATTCCTTACTGATGTTGGCTTGATCGGTAATCGAACTTGGGTTGCCGGGATTGTAGCGCAGTCCGGTAACCACTGCAACACCACTCCACCGACACAACACACCTGGGTTTAACCAGGCACCTTCGATTTAGCATGATCCTCATCCGATTAGCATGGTTGGCTACATACGGTGTGCGCAAGCAATTCAACATACATACAGTTCAACATACATACAACCACAGCCGCCATTCACCACTAAGTGGCAGTGACAATGCTTGTGCCAGTCTCGGTGCATGTTGAGGCTACGTAGTAGTAGTATGAAAGGCTTGCTGGCAGAAGCTCACAGGACAGACCTAGGTGCCATGAATTGACTCACTGGGATGACTGGCAGATACACAAACTGTGCTCCCCACTGTGCCACCTCCGCTGCGTTCGTTGTTGGAGGGCGACTGCCTCCAACTGCCCAGTAGCGTCCTTCACAAGCAATCCTCCCCCACAAAGACTGATCTTGACACAGCTGGTATCAGTCATCCACAAGTCCAATCAGCTCCACATCCTCCTATATTACAACAGTCAATCTCTTCCCAAACCCGTACCGCACTCATTTAGCGCCCTCTATCCGGCCAAACAGAAGCTGCTTGGGCATGCGGCGGCTGGGCATGCGGGCTACATGACCCAGCCAACACAGCCTTGCTTGCCAGAGGAGCTCACCAATGGAACTTTGCCCAGATTTTTCAAGGATTTGTGAGCGCCTCACACAATCCAGCTTGGTTAAACCAGGATGGATCATAGTCAGGATAGAATTTTTCCAATGCCGATCGAACATTCCACGTGACCAACCGCAGTGGTTTCCTGCTGTTTCTGGGGGACCCTGAGGTGAGGGGGTACAGTCTTCTGACTGCAAAATGGGGTTTGTCCAAAAGACATCATAGACACCTGTCTCTCTGTGTTCTCTGGCACAAGCTAATTTTTTCTCCATGATTTAACCTAAGGTGAAGGGATTATCAGCCCCTTGTGCACAAAGACAAATATCTCCCTGTAGCCTGAAGAGTCTGTTGGGGCAAGTGCTGTTAAATAGCACCTACAAAGGCTGGCACAGCACACGAAGGGGTGGGTGGCCAACACCACTCCCGGCCGCCTTTGTCTCCCCAGTGGAAATTTTTACACATCACACCAGGTACTGGTGGCCGAGTCGACTTAGGGGAGGCTCATGACCGGTTAAGATATTCGTCACTGGTGTTGGCCACGAGTGGGAATCGAACTCGGGTCGCCGGGCTCCCAGCACAGCGCGCTAACCATTGCGCCACCGCTCCCCACACACACACATACTCAAGAGACACTTACACCCACACACTCACCTGTCACCCTGTCCTGGGAGCTCATTGAAAGATCCAATGGAGCCTCCTGCTCCTCCATGTGCAGGGGTGGTGCCGGGGGAGGTGCCAGGAACGTGACATCACACGGGGGCGGGGCCATGTGTGTGATATTACACGAAGCCAGGTACAGAGGCGGACCTTGTGGAGGGATGTCACACCCGGCTAGACCAATCATGTCGGCCGGGTCTGGGTAAGGGGGCGGGGCAAGGTAAGGGGGTGGTGCCGGGGATTCGGCCTCCAGGTCTTGAAGGGGCCCCCCCTGCTGTGAGGAGAGGGGCATCCCCCGCTGTGAAGTCATCGAAGTGATGAGCTCTGGCTCCATTGGCCTGCAGAGAACAGAGTCCACCATTACTCAGCAACACACGCCAAAAGTTACTAACGCTCACCATTACTTTCAAAATCAGTTGCCTTCTGCCGTTTGGGTTTCCTGCAGCGCAACGTCAATCTTTTCTTAATGTCAACACTTGGCAGGCACGTCGCACTATGCATGCGAGAGGCCTTCCACGTTGAGTTGATACACTCGGAATGGAGGTCCTAGTCGGATGGGATTTACACTCTTATTTGAAATCGTATATATGAACGTTTTTCAAAAAGGCCGAAGCGATGATATTAGTCGTGCAATGAGACACTTAAGAAGTGGTGGGCCACATGAAGGCTACCATTTCTCCCACCTAACACTTGTAAAAACTCACCAATGCTTATCATTACTCACTAAAGCTCACCATTACTCACCACTTTACCATCAATCATCATTATTCATTAACACTCCCAGAAACACACACACAAAACTCCTGACCAACGTTTAACACTATTATCTATGATTAACACAATCATAATCTGTATTCATCCTGGAGAAATCTATAAAGTTATTCGTCTCTTTTTCACAGATGTCCAAAAGGTGGGTCAGATAGTTACACTCGCCATCTCACTCATCACTGCTCGCCACTTATCCCGGGCACCCATCCTCACTCACCAATGTTTCCCTGCAACTCCGAGTAGCACGGTTGGCTACGTACGGTGCAATAGAAGTTCAACATATAAACATAAAATGCACGCCACTACAACAGGACTTCGATAATCTTCACCTTAATTTCCTAAAGCTGGTCCTCAACGGTAAAAACTCCAACGTTGTTATTCTCCAGGTGTCCCAAACCTGCCTCACCACCTACGTACATCGTGGCTCTGGACTCGAACCTTGTTGAGCAGGCCGACAACTTTAAATCTCGACGCATTATCCTGGAATTTAAACTGTCTTCGAGACCCATATCGACCACATGGCCAACAAAAAAAATGGATTCCTATACAGAAACAAACGCTGTATTCCACCTCGACTCCGTTTCAATAAAGTTAAAGCCCATATTCTTGGTTCTTTCGGTAAAGTCACGTAGAAGGGAAATAATAAAATTATAAAAATATATATTTTTTTAATCTTACTATGTTTTATTTTTATTATTGTATTATTTCCCTTCTATGTGACTTTACCGAAAACACCAAGAATATGAATCCATGCAGTCACGAAAGCTTTAAATCGAAATTTAAAGCCCATATTTGACGACTGTGACACCATTTCCCGCCTATCTTACTAATGTACATTAAAAGGTCTCATTCAATGAAACCACTCCGCTCTCTGTGACGCCCCCCCCCCCCCACAAAACTCGTCATTGCAACCTGTACATGAACTCAAGTCTGTCCCCCACCTGGACATCCGCAGAGCTGTCTTCATCCTCAAGGACCACTTCGTTCCTCTCCCTCCCATAGCCTCAGAGGTACCTCCTTATTACTACTAAACAATCCATTCACTAAAACGTTGTTTGGTAAAAAGAAAAAGTTACGTGTTGATGCGACACGCTACATACTCTTGCCGCTAATCTAAAGCCTGGCTCCCTCTCTTCACTTGCCCTCTTTATTTTTATATTCAACCAACACACAGCATAATTGCAAATATACCGAACTTATTTCTGGCGCCTCTTGCTCCTACGTTTGCATCATCTCTTTCAATTGGCGTGTGCTTATATTTCTGTTAAGACTAAAATATAGAAGTTACTCTCACAAGTGTACCCAACTTTCTCTGGCGCCTCATATTACATTTACACGTTTTTTTAAATTCAGGTGTTAATATACAACCGTTAAATATAAATTTGTAAGTTGTGCAATCATCTTTAAGGACAGTGTACTCGTTCTCTGCACTATTGGTGTATTACTTTGTTGTGTGTGCTCATGCACCACGGATCTCCCTTGTAAAATAGCCAGGACAATGGATAAACAGGATCATCCATGTAACAAATAAAATAAACTCAACTCAAACAAAACCCTGAATCCAAGACCCTTAACTCAGGAAGCTGAACCCAGGACCCTAAACCCATAGCCCTAAACATAGAGCCCTAAACCTAGAACCCTATACCCGGAGCCTTCAACCCAAGACCTAAAACCCAGGACCCTAAACCCAGGATCCTAACCCAAGACCATAAACCCAGCTCCTATAACCTACGACTAGAAGTCCAGCACCGTAAAATCAGGTCCATGAACCATAAACTCAGGACCTTAAACCCAGCACTCTAAAGCCCTCAACCCAAGACCCTAAATTCAGAATTCTAAATTCTTTGACCACAAGTCTGGGACCCTAGACCCTCATCACTAAACTCAAGACCCTAAAACAAGGACCATAAACACCAACCACTGGAACAATCATACATCACACAAAGCACATAAACACGACCATACACAACCTCTTCAACCACAACCGTAAACAAATGTTCAATGACAAGCACGACATGTGCACAAAGCAGAATCGTAAACCACTAAAACCACAACCAGACCAGTGTGACAACACCTTCTACACACAAATACAACCGCTCAAACACAACTACACACACCCACATCACCAACCACAACGACAAACACGGATACCCTAGTTTTCCTTCCACGCAGCAGCCGTGTCAGAGTGATGGCGGGCGGACTTATAGTTGGTCAGTATAATTTGTCATGATTGCGGAAATTGACTCAACACCCTAAACGGGCCCCTAAGCCCAGAATCCTAAACCCAGGAACCTAATCCGAAGCCCCTGAACTGAGGACCCTAAACACAGAACCCTAAATCCAGAAAGCGAAACACGGATCCCTAAATCCAGGCCCCTATACTCAGGTTGCTAAACCCAGTCCCATAAACCCAGGACCATGAACTCATGTTTCTCAACACGAACGTAAACCCTGAATACTTAACTCCGGGTTGCGAAACCCCAGAACTTTAACAAAATCAGGAGTGAATTTCCGAGTGAAGCCCACTGAGCTAAGAAGCTCCTTTTGAAGGCAGACTCCAAATCATCTCACAATTACAGATTAAAAAACACACTTAATAATAGTAATTATGTTGTAAAACTGCATTCACACTGAAACCCAGGCTCTAATCCAGAACCCTAAACTCACGACCAGAAACCCAGGCCTCTAACCCCGTTTACTTGGGTCTCTAACCCCAGGTTGTAAAACACGGGTTCCTAACCCTGGGTCTCTTAACACCAGGATCCAGGTTCAGGAATATGAACCCACTTCCCAGGTCTCCACACCCAAGTTCATAACTGCGCCGACTCGGATCCCTAAACCCCGATCCAAGGTTCCTAAACCCGAGACCTCGGCCACTACACCAGGGACATGGGCCCCGAAACCCAGGACCAAGAGCCTTGGGGCCTTAAACCCGGAGACCCGGGACCCTAAACCCCGAGACCTGAGACCCTGAAACATGGGCCCTTAAACCCGGACTCCGAGAGCTGCGCCCTTAAACCCGGGCCCTGAAACCTGGGCCCTTAAACCTGGGGCATCGACACCCGGGACACCGACAGCTGCGCCCCCTAAACCCGGGACCACTAAAACCGGTACCCTGAGACCTGGGCCCCTAAACCCGGGGCCCCGAGACCTGGGAACTCTAAACCTGGGACCCCGAGACCTGGACCTCTAAACCCGGGGCCCCGAGACCCGGGCCCCTAAACCCGGGGCCCCGAGACCTGGAACTCTAAACCCGGGTCCCCGAGACCTGGACCTCTAAACCTGGGACCCTGAGACCTGGAACTCTAAACCTGGGACCCCGAGACCTGGACCTCTAAACCCGGGGCCCCGAGACCTGGAACTCTAAACCTGGGACCCTGAGACCTGGAACTCTAAACCTGGGACCCCGAGACCTGGACCTCTAAACCTGGGACCCTGAGACCTGGAACTCTAAACCTGGGACCCTGAGACCTGGAACTCTAAACCCGGGGCCCCGAGACCTGGAACTCTAAACCTGGGACCCTGAGACCTGGAACTCTAAACCTGGGACCCTGAGACCTGGAACTCTAAACCTGGGACCCTGAGACCTGGAACTCTAAACCCGGGGCCCCGAGACCTGGAACTCTAAACCTGGGACCCTGAGACCTGGAACTCTAAACCCGGGACCCCGAGACCTGGAACTCTAAACCTGGGACCCTGAGACCTGGAACTCTAAACCCGGGGCCCCGAGACCTGGAACTCTAAACCCGGGGCCCCGAGACCTGGAACTCTAAACCTGGGACCCTGAGACCTGGAACTCTAAACCCGGGACCCCGAGACCTGGAACTCTAAACCCGGGACCCCGAGACCTGGAACTCTAAACCCGGGGCCCCGAGACCTGGAACTCTAAACCTGGGACCCTGAGAACTGGACTTCGACATTCGGGACCCTGAGACCTGGACCTCGACATCCGGGACCTCTAAACCCGGGACCCCTATCCCGGGGTCTATCCTCGCGCTACAATTCGCAGTCCACTTCAGCTGCTCCGAGCGCGTGCCACCGCCAGCTTGCCTCCCATTGGCTGCTGGGCGACCGCCGCGAGCGCCTCGTCCAATGGGAGTCGCCGCCGCGCGCATCCGCTCTACGGGATCCAAAGCAGCGGCCGTGGGGCCCAGGACGCGCGGGGCCCGCGGGGCCCAGTCCCGCGGGCCCCGGGGGCGCGACCCCCTCGCCGCGACCCCCTCGCCGCGACCCCCTCGCCGCGTCCCCCTCGCCGGCCCGGGCCCCCCCACTCGCTCACTCTCCCCGCCACGCGCGCCTCCACTCCGCCCGCCATCAGCCTCACCAGCCTCACGGTCTCCTCCGCCTGCAGCTCCTCGGGGCAGGCCGCCCGAGTGACGTCACGACGCAGTACGCGGTGACATCATGCCACGTAGGATTTACGTGATGGCGTCGCGCCACGGGCCGTGCCAATGCGATGACGTCACTCCACCGTCCGACGTTGCGCGGTGACGTGACTTCACGCGCGGACCTAACGAGTGACATCATTTTACGCTTGTGTGGTGACGTCACTCACCGACTGGACTGACGTGCAGTTTGTAGGTCGGGACTGGTTTCGACATGCAGCGTCTCATCAGTAGCAGAGCCAGGCTCGCTTGATCCCATGCAGGTGAATTGGCAGATGTTGACAGGCAGCGACTGGTTTCGACATGCAGTGTCTCATCATGAGCAGAGTCAGGCTCACTTGATCCCATGCAGGTGAGCTGCCCAGGTGTGTATAGGCAGGCACTGGTCTCATCAGCAGCGGTCTGGCTTTGCTTGAACCAATACTGATGATCTGCCCATATGTAAACAAAGGCCCCTCTATGTCGTTTGCCAGTTCGCCTTAGAACGTCGCTGAAACTCTGAGCGACCACTTAACGCGGCAGCTTCGAGCGCCCCAGCCACGTCAATCTGAACAATTAAAAACGCGTTGTCTTTAATTGAAACCAAGGCCCCACCGAGCTGCTATATGAGCTCTTTTTCAGAAGCGACTTCACCACAAATGACAGCTCAACGAAGTGGCTTATCACGTGGACATTTGTGGCAGCCAAACACTCTAAACGCGTGATGTTGATTCTAAATGCGGAGGGGGAAACCGGAGGACCCGGAGGAAAAAAAAAGACCACGAGCACGGGGAAAGCGAGATACGCAAACTCCAAATATACAGCAGCAGGCGTCAGGGTTGAGATCGAACCCGCGCCCTTCTGCATAGCAGGCGAGGCAGTTAACATTTCGCCACCGTGGCCCCGATCAGTCGGCTTTTATTGGCCAAAAGAGTTTTTTTTTGGGTTAGATCGCGGAAATATGAATGTCGTTAAACCGACCACCACCCGAGATAGCCAATTAGTAAAGTTTGTCACGGAAACAAAACGTGGAAGTTAGTTACGAGTTCAGCACACCGGTTATGTGTTGGAGAGTACACTCACTACAACATTTACAGAGTACCCTGACGTTTCGCTGGTAATTGCAACCGGCATCATCAAGAGACAGCCAGAGTTGTGGAGAAATCCTCCCGTTTTTGTCTTAGAGGGGAGTAACTGTGACGTCGTCACTGAGAGCCAATCAGGTGCGACGACCAAAGTGGGGGCAAGGGGGGTTAATGTAGTTGTGGGGGCCACGTCCACCCCACCGCCTTCGCCGGGCAGGTGAGGCTCGATGTCTGCCCCTTCCACTCCTTCCTCCACCGCGTTGGTCCGCTCCCGCCGGGCCCCCGCCGACCGCGCTAGCGCCCTCTCTGAGGGACATACTCAAGCTGCTGGCTTACAGCCACACGGAGTTACTCCACACACGCCCGCGTACACCATCACTAATGCTAACGCGGCGGCGAAAACGCGCGCGCCCCTGCAGGCGATTATAACCTAACAAGCGCACACACCACAGCACGCGTTCCCCCACGCAGTCGCTCCACACACACACAAATCACAGACACTACACCGATGCACTGTGCTAATTTTTATTCACTGCCCGGAGAGAATATTCTGCGAGCAGAGCCTAACCTACTGCTATCCAAGTCCCCAAATACTCACACGCCCAATTACTTACCTCGCGGCTGTACTCACGGCATCGCATGGACGCTATGAGAGTCGGAGGGACGAAGATGGAAGAGAACAAGATCTATCGCTGTCTCGTAGCGGCACTCGCTGGCGTCGATGCTGCGAGCGACTCAAGGAGGCAGGATGGCAGGGAGTCGGTCTTGGCGGCCAAGAGGTTGGAGATGAACTCTGATCTGAATGGTTTTTGACTCCCCATTTTATGCCCCTTGACTTCAAAAATCCGGGGTTACGTTATCGCGCGCGGTCAATTGTGTGCCTACCTGTGATTTTCAATCGTTTTCCTTCCCTTACATGGATCGTTGCGACGGTTACTTCTCGACCTATTGTCTATGCACCTGTACTCATTAATGTCTGACTAAGCCTGTTTACTCTGGAAGGGCATCCTGTTGGCGAATACACACCCTGCGAGTGTGTACTTGGTCTGGGGGAGGGCGTGGCACTGCGATCCCATGACCTCATAGTCTGCTCTGCTCACTTAATATTTCACCCCAGCCCCCCTCCCCGATGTTGTGTCGGTATATACCTCCAGTTCCCAGCCGCCCTCTGGGTTCATAGGCCTCACGGCGTTACTTGATACAGGCCGTACTCGCCGTTGACCCCTGTTGACCCATGGCTGACGCTACACCAGGTAAGTCGTGGTAACCGCGTGTAACGCTAACAATACCCACAACACCAGTGTCTGAACACTTATAGCTCGGGTCGGGCATTTATATCTTTGGGACCTTTGTCCCAGTATCTATCCAAAATGATGAAAAATAAGAATAGGATTTTAGCCTTTCTGGCAAAAAAAACAGGTGTTAATATATTCACACCCCCAAACTCGGCGTTTGAACATCATTTAAAATATAAGATGCAATTATTTGAAACTGAAAGAGCCACAAAGCATTTGAGAACCTTGGAAAATAAGAATTGAATCTATTTTAACTACTTTAGAAATTTATTTTTCGATTTAAAGCTTTCGTGACTGCAGGGATTCATCTTCTTGGTTCTTTCGGTAAAGTCACGTAGAAGGGAAGTAATAAAATAATAAAAATAAAACATAATAAAACAATTCTCACGACGTTTCGGCCACAACGCAAGCAGCCGTCCTCAGGTGAAAACCAGGTCCGTCGAGGCGACAGAGTCTGAATGAAACAGCACACGAGCTTGGAGCATATATATAAGCTGGGCGCATTGACAAAGGAATTTGCATATCAAAATGAATTTAGCATATTTATGGGAAATGCAGGAATGTGATTAGTACTGCATATGCATGTGCATTATGCAGGATTAACAGCATCAAAGGGAGCTGCAGTTACTGCTGCTGCAGCAGTTGCTGCTGCTGCTGCACTTGCTGCTGCTGCTGCAGTTACTGCCTTATCCATTTTAATATAACACTATGTATTATTCTACCCACCCTAATGTGTATCATACTGCTATATGTTTACTGTACAATTACGACACCATACATTACTCTGCACACTGCACCATGCCAGTGAGTGGAACGCGGTCTGAAAGTCACCGTAAACGTGAACACAATCAGTTAAGATCCGAAATGGTTTATTACGTCCTTCCAATGATTGCTAAGCCAGAATCCATCTTCTCGGTTGAAATTGTCTCTGTGTTTGTATATGTGGATCGCCTCATGAACGAATCTCTCATGATAGCCAGATGGCTTGCAGAGAACCTCTGTCTTGGAGAAGTCAATGTCATGTGAGCCCACTGAATTGTAACAGTGATCTGCCACGGCTGAGGTGTTTGTCCTACCGTGTTTCAGGTCTGCCTTATGTTCACGGATGCGGTCTGAGACATGTCGTTTGGTTTCTCCAATGTAACTGCTACCACAGAGGCAACTTAGTTTGTAGACGCCAGGGTACTGTATGTCTGGAACCACATCTTTTACAGACGGGACCAGATCACGGATTTTATGTACTGTGTTGAATCGGACCTGGATCTTGTGTTTAATCAGGATTTTGGAGATTTTTTTTGTGACCCCAGCAATGTAGGGTAAGGTGATGGTCTTGAAAGGCTCCTCAACAGGATCCTTCTTGATGGTTGGAGTGATGGCTTTGCGGATTGTGTAGTCGGAGTAACCATTAGCCTTAAGAGCTTGGCGTACGTGTTTGAGTTCACTGGAAATGTGTTCATGGTCGGAGATGCATTGGGCTCTATGATATAGAGTCTTGATGAGGGAATTCTTCTGGGATGGATGGTGGTGGGAATCCGGTTTTAGATAAGCATCCGTGTGGGTGGCTTTCCTGTAGACAGAGTGGCTCATTGAACCATCAGGTCTCCTTTTGATTAGGACATTCAAAAAGGGTAGCTTGCCATCATTTTCGACTTCCATGGTGAATCTGATGGCTGGGTGTATGGAATTGATGTGGTCGAGAAATTGGTCTAGAGCAGGCCGGCCATGTGGCCAGATGACAAAAGTGTCGTCTACGTACCTCTTCCATAAGGTCGGGCGTAGAGTGGCAGTCTGGATGGCGTCCGTCTCAAATTTCTCCATGAACGGACGCCATCCAGACTGCCACTCTACGCCCGACCTTATGGAAGAGGTACGTAGACGACACTTTTGTCATCTGGCCACATGGCCGGCCTGCTCTAGACCAATTTCTCGACCACATCAATTCCATACACCCAGCCATCAGATTCACCATGGAAGTCGAAAATGATGGCAAGCTACCCTTTTTGGATGTCCTAATCAAAAGGAGACCTGATGGTTCAATGAGCCACTCTGTCTACAGGAAAGCCACCCACACGGATGCTTATCTAAAACCGGATTCCCACCACCATCCATCCCAGAAGAATTCCCTCATCAAGACTCTATATCATAGAGCCCAATGCATCTCCGACCATGAACACATTTCCAGTGAACTCAAACACGTACGCCAAGCTCTTAAGGCTAATGGTTACTCCGACTACACAATCCGCAAAGCCATCACTCCAACCATCAAGAAGGATCCTGTTGAGGAGCCTTTCAAGACCATCACCTTACCCTACATTGCTGGGGTCACAAAAAAGATCTCCAAAATCCTGATTAAACACAAGATCCAGGTCCGATTCAACACAGTACATAAAATCCGTGATCTGGTCCCGTCTGTAAAAGATGTGGTTCCAGACATACAGTACCCTGGCGTCTACAAACTAAGTTTCCTCTGTGGTAGCAGTTACATTGGAGAAACCAAACGACATGTCTCAGACCGCATCCGTGAACATAAGGCAGACCTGAAACACGGTAGGACAAACACCTCAGCCGTGGCAGATCACTGTTACAATTCAGTGGGCTCACATGACATTGACTTCTCCAAGACAGAGGTTCTCTGCAAGCCATCTGGCTATCATGAGAGATTCGTTCATGAGGCGATCCACATATACAAACACAGAGACAATTTCAACCGAGAAGATGGATTCTGGCTTAGCAATCATTGGAAGGACGTAATAAACCATTTCGGATCTTAACTGATTGTGTTCACGTTTACGGTGACTTTCAGACCGCGTTCCACTCACTGGCATGGTGCAGTGTGCAGAGTAATGTATGGTGTCGTAATTGTACAGTAAACATATAGCAGTATGATACACATTAGGGTGGGTAGAATAATACATAGTGTTATATTAAAATGGATAAGGCAGTAACTGCAGCAGCAGCAGCAAGTGCAGCAGCAGCAGCAACTGCTGCAGCAGCAGTAACTGCAGCTCCCTTTGATGCTGTTAATCCTGCATAATGCACATGCATATGCAGTACTAATCACATTCCTGCATTTCCCATAAATATGCTAAATTCATTTTGATATGCAAATTCCTTTGTCAATGCGCCCAGCTTATATATATGCTCCAAGCTCGTGTGCTGTTTCATTCAGACTCTGTCGCCTCGACGGACCTGGTTTTCACCTGAGGACGGCTGCTTGCGTTGTGGCCGAAACGTCGTGAGAATTGTTTTATTATGTTTTATTTTTATTATTTTATTACTTCCCTTCTACGTGACTTTACCGAAAGAACCAAGAAGAATTTAGAAATTTAGTTTACCAGCTAAGGCTCATGGAGCTATATAGCTCCTTTTCAGAAGCAACCTGCCCACAAATAGGTCAACGAAGTGGCTTATTACGTGGACATTTATATCAGCAAATACTCTAAATGCACGTTCATTCAAAATGTGGATGGAAAAACCAGAGCACCCGGAGAAAAATCCACGCGACCACAGAGAACATGCAAACTCCAAATATACAGGTGTCAGGGTCGAACCCATGATCTCCTTCACACCAGGCGAGGTAGTTAACATCTCGCCACAGTGGCGCTCTAATTTAGACAAGAAGAAAGATACTCAACACGCGTCTGTGTAGATTCGTTGTCTGCATCCACAAAGGAGATATATTGCGTATGAATCATGTTACTTGTATCCTCCACAAGGGCGACAATGATTGTTTTGTCTTACGCACTACTCTCGCCATAGCCCAACCCTGAACCACCCCCTTACCTCAAGCCATGGAGATACTTGCTGCATCGGCAGTGGTGCACGATCACGAATGAACATCAACTTTAAATTTCGATTTAAAGCTTTCGTGACTGCAGGGATTCATCTTCTTGGTTCTTTTGGTAAAGTCACATACCGATACAACCAAGAAGAACATCAACTTTGATACATTCTTCGAAAGCACGGCGGCCTTGAAAGTAAAAACGCGTTCTGAGAAAGTGATGCGTCGGGGGAATCGTCGTCGGAGACTACACTGTTCAATTTGCGACAGGTGTCGAGAGGCGAGCAGCACCTCAGTGCGGCAACCTAGCCAATGGGAGAGTGAGCGTCACCCAAAACGTAAGCAGTGCGAAGTCATCTTATATATGTCACTTTTTGTCCGTCTGTCTGTGTTCCTGCTCCTGCGAGGGATTTGGCTCTCAAACGGTAGGGTTGACGTAAAAAAAGAATTGGCAGGTGCCACGCCGTAAGCCCCTCGGTTGGCAAGCACTATTCCTTTTTCACGTCCCTCACCTTTAAATTAGTTAAATTAGCGATTTAGTGCGATTTTTATTTCATTATTTAATACGATCTCTCGACCACGACCAACTCACGCATTTTTGGTAGGGGGGGGGGGACCATGCCAAGTCACACGCATCCGGTAGGGGTGAGGGGGAAATTTTGTTTCCCGTAAAAAATGCTACAAACACACAACGCTGAGGTACATTCTTCACTGTGTGATGTCCTCTTACCCCCCCCCCCCCACCCCGATGCATACAGTTATAGAGTCCGTACATATTAATATAGCGCCTAGATAGTATTTTGTTGCGCGACCGGGGGGATGGTGGGGGTAGCAGCCCAGCCTGCTGGCTGGGCAATCTAGGCAAGGCCGGGGGCTCTGCACGGGACTAGGCCCCACCACGCCACTCTGTCAGGTTAGTGCTATACAGTCGATATATACTGCTATAGAGTCAGCATGTACTCTTGTTGTGATAGCACATACCACCACAGTCAGTATGCACTGCTGTAATCATAGCAGGTACCACCACTGCCGCTATGCACTGCTGTAATCATAGGAGGTTACACCACAGTATGCACTGCTGTAGTGAGAGCAGCTACCACCACAGTATGCTCTGCTGTAATCATAGCAGGTGCCACCACAGTCAGTATGCACTGCTGTAATCATAGCGGGTGCCACCAGTCAGTATGCTCTGCTGTAATCATAGCAGGTACCACCACAATCAGTATGCACTGCTGTAATCATAGCAGGTACCACCAGTCAGTATGCACTGCTATAATCATGGCAAGTACCACCACAGTATGCACTGCTGTAATCATACCAGGTACCACCAGTCAGTATGCACTGCTGTAATCATGGCAGATACCACCACAATATGCACTGCTGTAATCATCGTAGGTACCACCACATTCAGTATGCACTTATGTTGTCAAAGCAGGTCCCACCAAAGTCGCTATGCACTGCTGTAGTCATAGCAGCAACCACCAGTCGGTATGCACTGCTGTCGTGAAAGCAGGTACCACCAGTCGTGAGGCACTGCTGTAGTGATAGCAGTGCATACCGTCGATGTGTGTGCGTCTAAGTCGATGTGTGTGGTAGTCAATGTGTGTGCATGGTGTGTGGACAACTAATTGATAATTAAATTACTTATTTTAACAATAATGCGGGTCTACGTCCATGTGTGCGTGTGAGTCAATGTGTCTGTGTGACATCGATGTGCGTGTGTTAGTACGTGGCTCCATGTGAGTCAGTCTAAGTCCATTTCTCTCCGTGTGTGTAGGTCCATGTGTGCGTGGCTCTATGTGCGTGTGCGAGTCTGTGTCAGTCAATGTGTGTACAGCAATGTGTGTACAGCAATGTGTGAGAATCCATGTGTGTGCGTCGATGTGTGCGCGTGGGTCCATGTGTGTCTTCGTCGATGTGTCTTTGTAAGTCTGTGTGTGTGTAGGTCTGATTGCATGTGAGTCTATGTATGTGTGCGAGTCGATGTGTGTGCAACTCCATGTCTGCGTGTCTAAAGTCGATGTCTGTGTGCGAGTCCATGTGTGTGTAAGTCGATGTGTTTCTATGTGTGGGTCAATGTCTGTGTTGAAGTCGATGTGTGCGTGTCTTTTTCGCCCGGGCAACGCTGGGTACTTACCGCAAGCTGCTCATAAATTAAGGGCGCTTTTTGGGGTGGGGGGGGGTTACATCGTGTAAATGTAACTATCGTAAAACCCACCACCACCCAACACGACCAATTAGCAAAATTGGTCACAGGAACAAAACGCGCCAATTGTACAGCAAACCCCGCAACATTTACAATCTGAGTTAACGTTTCGCCAGGGATTACAACCAGCTCAAATAGTGCAAGCAACTTGTAGGTTGGGAAAGGAAAGTGGTGGGTGAGCGGTGTCGGTGTGATCAGGCAGGATGGGGTGGGCAGGGTGGTTGTCAAGGCAGGCATTGGAGTGGTCTCTACCAGACCAGTGACCAAAGGGAAGAGAAGACCTAAAGCCGGGTGGTGTGAATCTCTGGCCCTCTGTGTGTCTATGACTGTGCTACCCTATATGTTCCTATGTGAGTCTGTAGGTTCTATGGATGTCTTAAGAGCAGATGGTGGGAGGCTGTCAGGGCAGAAGTTGGAGGGTCTAACGCATTGGCGATGTGGTGGTGGAGATGGCGGCGGTGGCAGTATCCACGACTCCGTCAGCGGTGTAATGATGGCGACCGTCATGTCTGGTTTAACTCCACACAGGAGGCCATTAGAGGCAAAATCCTCGCAGTTTAATGCAAATACAGCGCATGGCAAATATAAACTGTACAGAGCACCCATCAGCACGAGTCCGTGCCCGCCTCAGCACGTTCAACCCCAAGGCACGTGAGACCCACAGTTTGTATCCTGCGTGGAAAGTCTCTACCCCGTGAGCAAGTGCCACGTTAGACCCATTTGCACGTTAAGACCCAGTAGCATGTTAGACCCTGTTACGTGACCCACATATGGTACCACACGCAATGGTACACTAGCTTCTAAATGCATATTCAGGTATAAACACACACACAGGTATAAACACACACATGCACAGGGGTACACACACACAGGTATAAACACACACACACAGGTATAACACACACACACATGCACAGGGGTACACACACACAGGTATAAACACACACAGGTATAAACACACATGCACAGGGGTAGACACGTAAACAGGCGTAGACACGTAAACAGGGGTACACACACAAACAAGGACGCATTCACGCGCTCATCTGCATTATAGTCACACGACATTATGAACCTGACGACCTCGGTTTGATTCCTGGCCAGTGGAGAGTGCCAATTAAGCGAGAAAAGGCCTCCGCCCCCCAGCTCGATTCAGCCTCAACCGAGTACCTGGTGCGATGGATGAGGACATCAGCACCGGGAGAATAAGGCCACCGGAGGAGTGGTCACAGCCACGCCGGCCCCTCGTGCACGGTGCCAGCCTTCGCAGATGCTCGCTAACAGCACTCGCCCCAACAGCCTGTGCACGCCATTGGGGGGAATCTTTGTCTACGCTTGCAATTGTGTTGCCGCATGCCCCTGCGCAGACATGTTCCATGTCTGTGCAGCGGGACGTACCTGCGTGTCCATGTATGCCGTGCGCACGGAGAATCTGTGTGCGCTGTGTTGTCTTTGTATGCCGTGTCCACATACGTGCAGTGCGACGCCATGTTGTCTACGTGCAGTGGGACGAAGTGTTGTCTACGTGTTGCACTGTGGTGGCTACGTGTTGTGTTGTCCGTGTTGTCTACGTGTAGTGGGACGCGCGGAGGTATGCCGCGGGGAGGTAGCCCTGGCCGGCCGGCCCCTCCGCCAGCCACCACGCAGAGTTCCCGGCCTCGTCGTGGAAGGAGAGCACACGCACGCGCTCACGCGCACGCACGCTCAGCTGGTTGGGGAGCAGCGCCGAGAAGGAGAACACGGCCTGGTAGAACTGAGACACATGGGGACACGGGGGTGAGACACAAGTGAGACGAGGAAAAACGGCCTGTTAAAACTGAGACACGGGTGCGACACGGGGATATGAGTGATCAAAATGAGATGCACGGGGTCATACACGAGGGAATCGCACAGTAAGTTGGTACACACAGCAGGGCACAGTAAGTTGAGGCAGTCCTACAGGAAGTTCGCACACACGGGGTCACACAGCAGCAATACTCACCGAGCTGTGCGGCCTTGCCAGGACAGCACGGGGGGCAGAGGGTACGGGGACACGTGACACCATCAGAGGGTACGAGACAAGTGACACCATCAGACGCACATAGCCACTCACAACCACACACGCGCAACACCCGCAACAATAGCCAACATTCGCCGCCACTAAGTGGTGGTGACGTCGCAACAGCCCTGGTGCCAGGACAGGTGCACGCTCAGGCTACCATGTGAAGTGTCGAAGGCTCGCTGACAGGTCACGGGACAGACCCAGGTGCCATGGATTGACTGACTGAGACGACTGGCAAATATGCACCAGCTGTGCTCCGTACTGCGCAAACTCGCTCCTCCGCCCTCCATTGTTGCTGGAGGGCGACTGCCTCCAACTGCCCAGCAGCGTCCTCCACGAGCCTCCTCCACATAGGCCAATCTTGACACCGCTGGTACCAGTCATCGGCAAGTCCATTCAGCTCCACATTCTCCTGTACCGCGTCAGCCCATCTCTTCTCTAGCCTGTGCCGTGCCCGTTTAGCCTCGTCTATCTGGCCTAACAGAAGCTGCTTGGGGGCTTGCACTGACACCAGCACACGGTTACTCACATATTCACTGACGACAAGTTCCCTTCCATCAGCACCGCCTGTCGCCTGCTTCTCGTGCTCACGGCGCCGCCTGGAATTGGGGGCCCCGTCTGCACTGGAAGGGGAGCCGCATCCGTCTCCAGGGTAACCATTTCCACGGCGTCCGTCTCCACGGTAACAGTCTCCCCGGCGTCCGTCTCCGCGGCACCCATCTCTACGGCGCCCATCTCCGCGATCACCATGGTAACCAGCTCCACGGTAACTGTCTGCATCAATTCTGTCACCACAGCAACCATCCCCAAAGGTTCTGTCACCGCGGTAACCATCTCCATAGGTTCCAAGGCCGCTGTAACCGTCTTCATAGTTTCCGTGACTGCGGTAACCATCTCCATAAATTCCATCCCCACGGTAACCATCTCCACGACGCCCTTCCCTATGGTACCCATCTCTATGGTACTCATTTTCAGAGTAACAGTCTCCGCGGTAACCGTTTCCATGGTAACCGTCTCCATGGTAACCGTCCCCACGGCGCCCCCGCTCGACTGTGCTGTCTCGGTAAGGGGGCTGTCGACCGCGGTCTGGGTGGACGGCGGTAGGAGGAGGAGAGCGGTGATGGACAATGGGAGGAGAGCGGTGGTGGGCACCGGGAGGAGGGCGGTGGTGGACAGCGGGAGGAGAGCGGTGGTGGACAGCGGGAGGAGGGCGGTGGACAGTGGGAGGAGGAGGAAGGCAGATGCCGCAGTCGACCACGTCGAGGCCTCGCGGCGAGCGGTGGCGGTGCTGCCGCCCCAGCACCCGGTCGGTCGTGTGGTGCACGAACACCGGGGCGGGTGCCGCGTGGAGGAGGGGCCGCAGCGTGCCGTAGTCGGGGGCCCGGGGCGGGGGCCCCGCGGGGTCGCCGTGGAGAGGGGGACACCGGGGGCGGCGGTCGCAGCGGAGCGCCGGGCAGTCGGAGCGCGGGCGACCGTAGTCGTCGTTGTAGTCGTATCCGGAGCCCAGGAGGTCGTGGCTGGACTTGGGGCGGCGCAGTAGAGGCGGGGCGTCTCGCCGCTCGTCGGAGAAACGGGGGGGGCCCCGTGGCGGCGACCCCCGATGATCCCCGTCGGTCCGGGCTCTCCGCGGGGCTCGGCCTGACGAAGCCTCGGGGGCCTCGGGGGAGGCAGGGGGAGGTAAGGGGAGGGGAGGGTGCGGGGGGTGGGGACCCCGGGCGGGAGGGCGGGGGAGGTTGCGCGAGCGTGACAGGGAGTCGAACCCCGAGTCGGACCCAGTGCGGACAGAGTCCGTGCGGTCCGAATCTGTGGCCTCCTCCGAGCCGGCGAGGCGCCACCGTGCCACTCGCTCCTCCACCTCGGCCCCCGGAGTCTCTGCGCGGTTTTTCTGCGGTTTCAATCTCCGCTCGGTCGTGAGTTTCCCTTCCTGTTTTGGTTTCAGCTTCAGTTCCTGTTTCGGTTCCTGTTCCTGTTTTGGATTCACTTCCTCTTCCTGTTTTGATTTCGACTCCTGTTTTGGGCCCGGAGGCCGCGACCTCGCCCTGCGTTTGGCGTCACCGGCGCACTTGGCCAGGCCCAAGCCTGCACGTGTCCTGCAGGTGCTGCCGCCGCCGCCGTCGTCATCGTCGTCCATCTCCCCATCCGTGTGGGACCGCTCCTCGTGCCGTCGCCACGGAGACCGAGGCACTGCCTCCCCCTCCGCGTCCGAGTGGCGGCGCGGGGGGACGCGGCACATGGCGCGATTACCGTGACGACCGACTGCCTCCCCCTCCGGCTGAGAAGCAACGAGACGCTCGCCGCTCACACCAACGGCTGCCACCGCCACCTCCGCCTCCTCCTGGCGGGTGTGGTTGTTGTTATTGTTGTTGTTGCTGTTTTCGTTGTCGATGACAGTGGAGGTGGTGGCGGTGATGGCAGCAGGGGAGGTGGCGGCGGTTGCTGCAGACGTCTTGACGTCAATGTGCAAGACACGGAAACGCTTCGCCAGGTCCTCGCCACCATCGTCATCGCGAGACTGACAGGCAGCAAAATGAATACACCGCACACACGTGTTAAATGCACATACAGATCCCCCGTATAGCCGAAATAGACTGTTGGGGCAGATGCTGTTAGCGAGCACCTATGACGGCACACAAGGGGGTGGGTGGCAAGCACCATGCCCGGCTGTCTTTGTCTTCCCAATGCCGATGTTTACACACTACACCAGGTACTCATTTGAGGCTCAGTTGCCCTATAAGAGGCCCAGGACCGGTTCAAATAATCATCGCTGGTGTTGGTCGTGAGCAGGAATCCAACTTGGGTCGCCGGGTTCGTGGCGCAGCGCGCTAACCACTGCGCCACCACTCCCCACTGGGTACAAAGACAAAGATCCCCCCCATATCTTGTAACAGACTGTTGGGGCAAGTGCTGTTAACGAGCACCTATGAAGGCCTACTGGGCACACGCACGGGTACACACACACATGGATACACGCACACATTCCCCCCCACACACACGTACACACATACATGCGGGTACACACAAACAAAAACACACAAAGATCCCCCCGTATAGTCTGAACAGACTGTTGGGACAAGTGCTGTTAGCGAGCACCTATGAAGGCCAGCACGGCATTCCAGGGGGTGGGTGGCCAGCACCACGCCCGGCCGCCTTTGCCTCCCTAGTGGCGATGTTTACACACCACACCAGGTACTCATTTGAGACCGAGTCTACCTAGGGGAGGCCCAGAACTGGTTCAAATAATCCTCACTGGTGTTGGCTGTGAGCGGGAATCAAACCCAGGTCGCCCGGTTCGTAGCGCAACGCGCTAACCGCTACACTACTGCTCCCCACACACACACACATGGGTACACACACATTCTCCCACACACACACACGGTTACACACACACACGTGTACACACACACACAAGACGAGCACTCCCTGTGCACGCCGCCTCACCGTGAGCCCCGCGAGCTGCCGGATCTGTGCCGTGGTTTTGGCGAGGGAGGAGACTCCACGCCGGAACAGTCGCTCAGCCAGCACCGACAGGGGGGCGGGAGGGGGGGGCACCCTCCTCACCACTGGGGAGGGGAGGGGTGGCGAGTGGGATTAGTGGGTACGTGGGGGGAGGTGGGGTGAGTGGTGCGAGTGGGGTGAGTGGGGTGAGTGGGTGCGTGGGGTGAGTGGGTGCGTGGGGTGAGTGGAGTAAGTGGGTGCGTGGGGTTAGTGGGGTCAGTGGATGCGTGGGGTGAGTGGTGTGCGTGGGGGGAGGGGTGGTGAGTGGGATAAGTGGGTGCGTGGGGTGAGTGGGTGCGTGGGGTGAGTGGGTGCGTGGGGTGCGTGGGGTGAGTGGGGTGAGTGGTGTGAGTGGGTGCATGGGGTGAGTGGTGTGAGTGGGTGCGTGGGATGAGTGGGTGAGGTGAGTGTGTGGGTGGGGTGCGTGGGGTGAGTGGGGTGAGCGGGGTGAGTGGGGGGAGTGCGGTGCATAGTGTGAGTGGGTGCATGGGGTGAGTGGGTGCGTGGGGTGAGTGGGTGCATGGGGTGAGTGGGTGCGTGGGGTGAGTGGGTGCGTGGGGTGAGTGGGTGCATGGGGTGAGTGGTGTGCGTGGGTGCGTGGGGTGATTGGGTGCGTGGGGTGAATGGGTGAGTGGGTGCGTGGGGTGAGTGGGTGAGTGGTGTGAGTGGGTGCGTGGGTGAGTGGGTGCATAGGGTGAGTGGGTGAGTGGGTGAGTGGGTGCATAGGGAGAGTGGGTGAGTGGGTGAGTGTGTGCGTGGGGTGAGTGGGTGGATAGGGTGAGTGGGTGAGTGGGTGAGCGGGGTGAGTGGGTGCATGGGGTGAGTGGTGTGAGTGGTGTGCGTGGGTGCGTGGGGTGATTGGGTGCGTGGGGTGAGTGGGTGAGTGGGTGCGTGGGGTGAGTGGGTGCATGGGGTGAGTGGTGTGAGTGGGTGCGTGGGGTGAGTGGGGTGAGCGGGGTGAGTGGGGGGAGTGCGGTGCATAGTGTGAGTGGGTGCATGGGGTGAGTGGGTGTGTGGGGTGAGTGGGTGTGTGGGGTGAGTGGGTGCATGGGGTGAGTGGGTGCGTGGGGTGAGTGGGTGCATGGGGTGAGTGGTGTGAGTGGTGTGAGTGGGTGCGTGAGTGATTGGGTGCGTGGGGTGAGTGGGTGAGTGGGTGCGTGGGGTGAGGTGAGTGTGTGGGTGGGGTGCGTGGGGTGAGCGGGGTGAGTGGGTGCGTGGGGTGAGCGGGGTGAGTGGGTGCGTGGGGTGAGTGGGGTGAGTGGGGGGAGTGTGGTGCATAGTGTGAGTGGGTGCATGGGGTGTGGGGTGAGTGGGTGCGTGGGGTGAGTGGGTGCATGGGCTGAGTGGTGTGAGTGGTGTGCGTGGGTGCGTGGGGTGATTGGGTGCGTGGGGTGAGTGGGTGAGTGGTGTGCGTGGGTGCGTGGGGTGATTGGGTGCGTGGGGGAGTGGGTGAGTGGGTGCGTGGGGTGAGTGGGTGCATGGGGTGAGTGGTGTGAGTGGGTGAGTGGGTGCGTGGGGTGAGTGGGTGCATGGGGTGAGTGGTGTGAGTGGTGTGCGTGGGTGCGTGGGTGATTGGGTGCGTGGGGTGAGTGGGTGAGTGGGTGTGTGGGGTGAGGTGAGTGTGTGGGTGGGGTGCGTGGGGTGAGCGGGGTGAGTGGGTGCGTGGGGTGAGTGGGGTGAGTGGGGGGAGTGTGGTGCATAGTGTGAGTGGGTGCATGGGGTGTGGGGTGAGTGGGTGCGTGGGGTGAGTGGGTGCATGGGCTGAGTGGTGTGAGTGGTGTGCGTGGGTGCGTGGGGTGATTGGGTGCGTGGGGTGAGTGGGTGAGTGGTGTGCGTGGGTGCGTGGGGTGATTGGGTGCGTGGGGGAGTGGGTGACTGGGTGCGTGGGGTGAGTGGGTGCATGGGGTGAGTGGTGTGAGTGGGTGAGTGGGTGCGTGGGGTGAGTGGGTGCATGGGGTGAGTGGTGTGAGTGGTGTGCGTGGGTGCGTGGAGTGATTGGGTGCGTTGGGTGAGTGGGTGCGTGGGTGCGTGGGGTGAGTGGGTGAGGTGAGTGTGTGGGTGGGGTGCGTGGGGTGAGTGGGGTGAGCGGGGTGAGTGGGTGCGTGGGGTGAGCGGGGTGAGTGGGGGGAGTGCGGTGCATGGGGTGAGTGGGTGCATGGGCTGAGTGGGGTTGCGTGGGGTGAGTGGGTGCATGGGGTGAGTGGTGTGAGTGGTGTGCGTGGGGTGATTGGGTGCGTGGGGTGAGTGGGTGCGTGGGGTGAGTGGGTGCATGGGGTGAGTGGTGTGAGTGGGTGCGTGGGGTGAGTGGGGTGAGTGGGTGCGTGGGATGAGTGGGTGCATGGGGTGAGTGGTGTTAGTGGGTGAGTGGGTGAGTGGTGTGAGTGGGTGAGTGGATGCGTGGGTGAGTGGGTGCGTGGGGTGCGTGGGGTGAGTGGGTGAGCGGGGTGAACACTGCGGGTACCTAAGCGCTGAGCGTTATTAATGGCCATGTTGGCTTCCCGCAAGCTGGCAACAGCCCTCGCCAATGGCTCTGCATGCGCGCACACAAACACATTCACACCGACACATTCACACCGACACATTCAAACACAACTCAACCATGTCTTGTGTAGGCTTTAGGGACTGTTGGGGAAAGTGCTGTTAGCATGTAGCACCTATTAAGGCTAGAACAGAACACGAGGGGGTGGGTGGAAAACAAAACGCCCAGCCACCTTTGTCTCCCCATTGCTATGTTAACACTGCACCAGGTACTCTTTTAATCCGGTCATCATTGCAGCGGCTTTTGGCTCGCCATCGAACAAAGATGGTCACTGCATCGCACGCTTTCAGATGCGCTTCTGCGGCCGTCTGGAACGCTTTTTCTTCCGATATTAGGAAGCCACTGAAGCTATGCACCTTTCAATCTAAATTGAAATAATTTCTTCAGAACTGCTTTTTGTGTTTAGTTTGTTGTCCTTCCCCCATACCTCCGATTAGTACAGTTGGCTACGTACAGTGCGAAAGAAGTTCAACATACACATAAGGCTGAGTCGACCTAGGGGAAGCTCAGGACATTTTCAGATATTTCATCACCGATGTTGGCTGCGAGTGGGAATCAAACTCAAGTCGCTGGGTTCATCGGCAAGTGTGATAACCGCCGTGCTATAGCTCACGCAAAGATGCAAAGATCTCCCAAACATCGTGAATTGTTGAGGAAAGTGCTGTTAGCGAGCACCTATTAAGGCATGGCAGCCATCGAGACTCCCCCTTACTGGGGGCTCGAGAGGGGACTGAGGGGCGTCTTTTGGGGCTAAGTGTATGTGTGTCTCTCTAGGGAGTCCAGGTATATCTGTGTGTGTCTCTAGGGAGTCTAGGTATATCTGTGTCTCTCTAGGGAGTCGAGGTATATCTGTGTGTCTCTAGGGTGTCTAGTTTTATCTGTGTGTCTCAAGAGAGTCGAGGTGTATCTGTGTCCCTCTGGGTTTCTGGATACTTGTGGGAATCTCTGTATCGCTATGTGTTTCTATGTATCTCTGTGTATCTCTGTGTATCTCTAGGGATCTCTCGGGGCCTCTGGGGGTTCCTGGGGGTCCGTGGGGAGTACGCACCGCAGTCGGGATGCGAGAGGGGGGTGTGACGCGCCAGCTCGGTGAGCAGGAGCGGGTAGCGCGTCACGCGCTGCACCGGGAGGATCAGGAACGACGGAACGTCCACCAAGCGACGCTTACCCCTGCACGGGCACATGGGGACACGGAGACACGGGGAGGACAAGCATACCAAGGCACAGGGACACGAGGATAGGGGGACACGGAGAGACGGGGACACGGAGACAAGTGACACAAGAGACAGACGACTGCCAGGAGATGTATCCAAATGAGCACAACCCTCACCACAACCCTCGCCACCACCACAACCCTCAGCACAACCCCCGCCACCACCACCACAACCCTCAGCACAACCCTCGCCACAACCCTCGCCACCACCACCACAACCCTCAGCACAACCCTCGCCACCACCGGCACTGGAAAAACAAGACTTTTAAAGGTCCCCTGTGTAGCCTTAACAGACTGGAGGGGCAAGTGCTGTTCGCGAGCACCTATGAAGGCCAGCACGGCACACGAGGGGGTGGGTGGCCAATACCACACCCTTTGTTCCCAACTGGTGATGTTTACACACAGGTACTAATTTCAGGCTGAGTCAACCTAGGAGAGGCCCAGGACCAGTTCAGATAATTGTCACTGGTGTTGGCCGTGAGGGGGGATCGAACTCAGGTCACTGAGTTCATACCGCAGCATGCTAACCATTACACCATGGCTCCCCACCACCAGCACCACCACCATCACCACTAACACCACTACCACAATGACACCATTACCACCAATCGTGCATGTGTAAGCACGTGTGTATGTGTCAATCTGTGTGCACGTCTGTGCATGGATGTGCATGTGTGTGAGCGTGTGAGCGAGTGTGTGTACACATTACTCACACGTGAGTGTAAATCTCCCTGTGGAAACAACAAAGAGACAGGGAGAGGGGAGGGCATTTATAATCACAGATCAGCCAAGAAAGGACACAGGGACATGGGGACACGCAGACACACGGAAACACACAGGGACACGCAGACACACGGAGACGGGGACATGCAGACACGCGGAGATGGGGACACACAGAGACAGACAGAGACAGACGGAGATGGCGACATGCAGAGACAGACGGAGACAGGGACATGCAGACACATGGAGACGGGGATACACAGAGACAGACAGACGGAGACACATGGAGACAGACGGAGACAGACGGAGACGGCGACATGCAGACACATGGAGACGGAGACACACGGAGACACATGGAGACGGCGACACGCGGAGACACACCGGAGTGCGGTGATGCTGGCCTGCAGGCAGTCGCAGGAGTGGGGGTCGTGCGACCACATCTCCATCTCGGCCAGGCCCTGCTCGTGGTGCGCGCAGTACGACTTGTACACGCCCTCCACCTCGTCGCGTACGCCCAAAAACACGCTCCCTGCACACGCCGCCATCCACAGCGGCATCGTCATCATCGTCAATGTCTTTGTCATAGAATTAACTTTGGGTGTTTCCAGCACTAACCACAACCACGACAACCACCATCAACCATCCTTTTCATCAACCACAACAGCTACCATCACCACTATATCCTGATCACTACCATCACCACCACCACAACCACCACCATCACCACCACTACCATCCCCACTACTGCGATGATACTCCACCACTGGGCGGCCCGCCCACGGCGACCGCTCACCGACGATCTGCGAGGGCGTGTCGTTGGTGATGACGAGATGGCGCAGCTCGGAGAAGAGGCGCGACGAGAGCGCGATCACACTGTCCAGGTCTCCGTTGAGGGCTGCTGGCACAGCCCAGCTGTGCCAAGACAAAGATCCCCGTGTAGCCTTAGCAAACTGTTGGGGCAAGTGCTGTTAGCGAACAACACCCATGAAGGCTGGCACGGTGCACGAGGGGTTGGGTGGCTAGCACCACGCCTGGCTGCTTTTGTCTCCCAGTGCTTATGTTGTATACACACACCAGTTACTCATTTAAGGTTGAGTAGACCTAGAGAAAGGGCTCAGGACCAGTCCAGATATTCGTCACGGATGTTGCCCGAGAGCGGGGATGGAACTTGTGTCGTCAGGTTTGCTGTGCAGTGTGCTAACACGGAGACCTAGAGTCACACACTGCGGACGCTGCTGATAATGGTACTACTGCTGATAATGAAGATGCTACTACTATGGCTGATAACGACGCTACCACTGCTGCTGATAATCTTACTGCAGCTGCTGTTGCTGCTGATGTTACTGCTGCTGATAAATGTACTGCTCCTGATAACGTTACTGCTGCTGATAACGTTACTGCTGCTGATAACGTTACTGCTGCTGCTACAGCTACCGCTAGTGCCGTTGTGGCTGCGGCCGGCCGGCCTCACCTGCTGCAGCGGCATGAACACGCGCTTGCGGAAGACGCGCAGGTCGCACAGGAAGTCGCGCTCCGTCTCCAGGAGCTCCTCTAGCACGCGAAGTCGCCGCTCCATCTGCTGGCGCCAGGCCAGGCGCTCGGGAGGCTCCTCGGGACCCCCACCCCCGTCGCTCCATGCTGCACGCGCACACAGCGGAGACAGCGGTCCCCGCGGAACCTCAGACAGACTGGCGGGGCAAGTCCTGTTTGGACTATGAAGGCTGGCATGGCACACACGAGGTTCGGTGGTGACGCACGCACACACAACAATTGTTGTATTGTAGCTTTCGGAGCCTCCCCTAAATAAATATTATGATTCTAATAAAGGTGTAATGCGAGCAAGGACAGGGTGGGCGCTGCCTCCGCACCACTCACACGGGCCGGTGTATTGGAGAGGCGGAGCCTGGTCGTCGGGGTGAGTGGGGGCGGAGACAGGGGCAGGATGAGAAGGTGGAGTTTGGGTCACGTGAGAGAGGGGATATAAGGGAGAGACGGAGGAGGAGCTGGGGGAGAAGAGAGTGAACGACAGAGGGGAGCCACGCTGGTGGTGAAGGGAGAAGTGGCGCCATTGCCACGTGGTTGGGGCCGATAGGCGTACTGGGGTGAAGTGTGCGCGAGCAGTGGAGCGTGCGGGTGTGCACGGGAGAGAGGGAGCCGGAGCGGGTGTGGGGGTCCCGAAAGGCGGTGTGGCCCGAGCGGGTCAGGAAGAGCACACGGAGGGGCCGGAAGTAACGGCGTTGCGAGAGCCACACGGAGCGTGCGCGGGGCGTACGGCGAGGGTCGGAGCGAGGACCAGCGGGTGAAAGGAAAAGAACCCAATAAAGGACCAACGGAGAGCGACAACGTGTGAAGGAGTCCTTTATTACAAAGGTTCTGATTCTGAACAGCCGCCACCAATCACCACTAAGTGGCGGTGGCGTCACCACAGTGATTGTGCCAGGCTAAGTGCACCTCTAGGCCACGTGAAGTGTTGAAGGCTCACTGGAAGGTCACGGGACAGACTCGGGTACCATGGGTTGGCCTCTATATTTCGAGTTTGCATGTCTCTCTCCCCGTGGTCGCATGGATGTTTTTCTCTGGTTCCTCCGGTTTTCCCCTCCACATTTAGAAACATGCATTTAGACTATTTTGCTGCTAAAAATGTCCACACGTGATAAGCCACTTCGTCAAGCTATCATTTGTGGCCAGGTCGCTTCTGAAAAAGAAGCGAATAGCTCAGTGGGCTTTACTTGGTAAAAACTAGTTTAGTTTTATTTGTAGATTTTATGAAGTGATTTGTTTCCCTTTTTTATGCTTTGAACTCTTTGCGTGTTTTTGTATGATTTGTTGTTGTGAAATTCTGACCTGCCCCTACTGGTCATCTGTGAAAAAGAGATACACGGTATAGGCCATCATATTCCTGCAGCATAAATATATCTCCTGATTCTGAGATGGCTGGCAGATGCACCAACTGTGCTCCCCATTGTGCCAACTCGCTGTGTTTTAGCCGCCGAGCTCCGCTCGTTGTTGTGAGCATCGCTCACGGCAGAGGAGCGACGCCTTGAACAGACTGTTGGTGACAAGTGCTGTTAGCGAGTGGTTGGGTGGCCAGCACCACGCCCGGCCGCCTTTATCTCCCCAGTGGCGATGTTTACTACACACCGCACCAGGTGCCCTCACCTGTGATGTAGCTCAGCGGCACGGAGGCGCGCGAGGGGGGAGCAGAGCTGCTGAGTGTGGGCATGGAGACACGCGGCTCCTGAGACAACACGGGGACACGCGGACAAGGAGACACGGGGACAGAGAGATGAGACAATGCCGAGACAATACGGGGACAGGGAGACACGCGGCGCCCTAGAGGACACGGGGACAACACGGAGACAACACGGAGACACGGGGGCACGGGGAGACACGGGGGACGACGACGTGCCCTGCTGGAGGCTGCGCGAGTCGTCATTCGTGAGAAACAAGAAGTGCGACAATGGAGGATTCGACACGGCCACTCCCTCCGCCCCGCTCACACCACACACAGAGACACCACACACAGAGACACCACACACAGAGACACACACACAGAGACACACACGCACAGAGACACACACACAGAGACACACACGCACAGAGACACACAGAGACACACACACACCATACACAGACACCACACACAGACCCACACACAGAGACCCCCGTGCAGCCCACGCAGCCTGCCGGGGCCGGTGCTGTGAGCGAGGGCCTACGAGGAGGGGGCGCCGTGGCCAGGAGCACGCCCGACCACCCCCAGCTGCCGACGGCTTGACGACGCGCCGCATCGGCACTCGCTGAGAGCCCAGTGAGGGTCCAGGGACCTGTTCTGGTCATCGCCACCGGCGTTAGTGGCCGTGAGCGGGAGTCGAACCCGGATCGCACTGTGCCCCGCTCCCTACAAGCACACGCACTGTACACGCACCGTACACACACGCACTGTCCACACGCACCGTTCACGCACTGTACACACACGTACTGTACACGCATTGTACACACACGCACTCTACACACGCACCGTACACACACGCACTGTACACACGCACTGTACACGCACCGTACACACACGCACTGTACATACGCACCGTACACACACGCACTGTACACGCATTGTACACACACGCACTGTGCACGCACTGTCGCGTACACGCAGGGGCGCGCACTGTATGCGCACTGTACTTTCACCGTTCAGGCCCTGTACATAACGCACACTGTACAAGCACTGTACACCCCCCACTCACCTCCACGCCCCCTGAACGCTCCCAGAGGTCTCCCCACGCTGCCCGTGCCAATGCCCGTGTCTCTGTCCGTGTCTGTCTCCTTGTACACGACGACGACGTCGTGTCGTCTGTATCGCGGCGTCTCTAAATGTCTGCTGTTCGGTGTGCCGACTCGCGTCTCCCTCTCTTCCTGTGCCCATGTCTCAGTGTCAGTGTCTCGCCGCGTCTCTTTCACTCCCCGTGTCCATACCCGCGGCTCTGTGTCTCTCTCCCCGTGTCTCTCCCTCTGTGTCTCTGCTTCCCCCCCGTGTCTCTCCCTCCGTGTCTCTGGTCCGTGTTCCTTACCTTGGGTTCAGTTCCACGCATCGACAACGCTCATGCCCCAGCTCGCGGGGACACGGGGAGACACGGGGAGAGGGAGACACGGGGAGACACACGCAGAGACAGAGACACGGGGAGAGCGAGACACGGGAAGAGGGAGACACACGCAGACAGAGACACGGGGAGAGGGAGACACACGCAGAGACAGAGACACTGTAGACAGACAGAGGTGGGGGGACAGAGACACTGTAGACAGGCAGAGGTGGGGGGACAGACACGGAGTTGATACCGGAAGTTCCTCAGCGCCGCGCCTTGCGCCGCCTGATTGGCAGTCGCGCGTCACGTGGGGCGCGTCACCCCATGACTCATCCACGGGGGGGAGCGGTGGCGCAGCGGTTAGCGCCACGCGCCACGGACCCGGCCACGCGAGTTCGATTCCTGCTCAGGGCCAGCGCCGGTGACGATGATCTGAGCCGGTCCCGACCCTCTGCTAAGTCGAAAACGAGTACAGTACCTGGTGCGATGTGTAAATATCGCCACACTAACAGCACTTACCTCAAAAGTGTGTTCAGGTAAATTCGAAGTTTTTGTGACTGCAGGGATCCATACGCTTTGGTCCTTTCGGTAAAGTTCAAGTTCATTTATTTGGTATAGCCAAATGGAGAAGACAATGCCGAAAAGCGGACCCTGCGCCACAGCGGGAACAACGCTAGGAAGAAGGTATAGCCCTGTGAGCCATTCGGCTCTTGAATCGGGTGCAACCGCAGCAAACAAAAAACAAAAACATGAACAAAAACATCTTAAAGTGAATATGTGACTAAGTGCAAACAGAAATCCAAGAAAAGACAGCAAAACATTGCAGAAAAAAATCACCGTACACCAACGCTGTGTGCAAAATCCCAGTGGGATGCAAGTCAAACAACCAACAACAACCACAAGACAACTTAGATTAAGGCCATCAGTCTAACTCTGTACTACAACAAACAAACATGGCTAAACCAATATACTTTTCGAAATCACCAAAATAAAGCCATGAAAGCAATGAAACAGTGATCATAGGAACTGTGACGGAATTTTCACAATAAATGGCAAAAACAACATGTACTACCAAAACCCTGCAGCCATAGATGGCTGCATGAGTCACTCCACAACAACAGGAGCATCAATCGGAGTATTATAATTTTTCAATGCACCTTTAAGATCAGCACACTAAATCAAAACACAGGTCATACTTTGTAGTGATCATCCGGAACGAACATTTTTATTTTAGGCCACTGAATAGCACTGACAGCTAGGGGTGTACAACTCCTCTAGAGCAGTTTTGAGTGAGGATCTCATAGGTAGTGACTCAAGTTTCAATTTATTGGCAACAGCATTCCAGACCCTGGGGGCATCAATAGCAAAGGCCCTTCCTCCAGTATATGTA